GAACAGGGGCGCGTCGACCGGCCTTTGCTTGTTGTATGCTCTGAGTCCCTGTGGGATGATGAAGGGACCGCATGCGCACGGGCAACCACTGGCCTGGCCTGCCAGGCCTGACTAGCTGAAGCACCGCAGGCTTTGCAGCAGCAACGGGCCAACGTTTACCGGACCTAATAACTGCAACTGAAAGACCCCTCGTACGTGTTGCGGCCAGGTACCGCAAGCAGCAGCGGCTGTGGGAGGGCCCCCAAATCGACCTCCACGCGGCGAGCGACTGCTACGCCTTCTTGCGGGGCACAACGGTCGTCGTGACAACAAACGTGGGGGCCGGCCGGGGGGCGCGCTGTGAATTCCGGCTGCCGGTCAGCGGGCCCCTGCCGCGGGACGGACGCCTGGTCAACATTTTCTATCCAGAGGTGACTCCCTGCCCTTAACAGCTGGGTAGTTCGCCGAACCGGCGTCTGAATGCGATTGACAGTGCTCTCGTTGAGAAGTTAATGCTGGAGCGCTCGAAACCTACCGTCTGCCTGCTGCCTTGGGCTGACTGTGGTGTTACGCGCGCCTGCAGGGATGCCCCCCGAAACTTCTTTTCTTTTTTATGAACCTTGTTTCCCGCATGCTCTTCCTAACAAGCAGTCGTGTCCACGTGCTTAAACAAACACTGCGCAGGCCCCTGATGTGCAGATGGACCTGGCCAGCCGCAGGCTCTCCCTCGAAATCCTCAATGGCAGCCCCTTGGTGCTTCAGATGCGTCACCCCTCGCATCTCAGTCGAGGTGTCCCAGCGGCTGGTGCTTGGGAGCATGCTTACCAGCAGCAGCAGCAGCAGCAGCGGCGGCCGCAGCAGCAGCAGCAGCAGCAGCAGCAGCAGCAGCAGCAGCAGCAGCAGCAGCAGCAGCAGCAGCAGCAGCGGCGGCGACTGCGGCAGCAGCAGCGGTGAAGCAGTGGCGCGCCGCTACCGCAGGACGGGGCCGTTGCACGCGAGGAGGCGGTTGCCCGAAGGACCCAGCATGATCAGTGTTCCATTGGTCTGCATGATGGATCAAGCTTGCATTGTACCATTCACACATTCCACCTTCTTCCTGTGCGCTCTAGTAAGACCATTTCAATGCCGTCTCAGTCAGCCTGCTTGAAGTGAATGGGTTGTCCCAGCGGACTCAGTGTTTACTCTGCTCAAGCTAGAATTGTGACAGTTGCTGCTGCAACCTCAGCATGCAGCTGCAGTGCAGATGAGAGATCTTGGCAGCCGGCACACGGTTTGGAGCAAGTGTGAGCACCAAGGCTGCAACTGCAACGAGGGTGATGAGCATCCAACAGCAGCAAAGCAGGCCGCAGTTGCAGGTCCCCCTTCGTGCCATCAACGGACTTCTGCCATGCAGGACTGCGATGGACACGCCCCTGTGGTGAGCACTGAGGGACACCCTGATCAGCGACCAGCTACCTTGGACTTTTCGATCCAAGGGGGATACCCACGCCAAGCAAAGCTGACCACGATTTTATATTGGGTGAGGTGTGGTGACAGCAAGAACGCAACCTGGTATTACTTGTCAACAAGTCATATTAAAAAGGATTCCTGAACAGCGCTGCCAATGCAGCGACTGCCAGCGAGCAGCCGCTACCATTTTCTACATGGGCGGCCGCATGCCGGTGTACCCAGGCCACATCTGCATGCCGGGCGGCCGCACCCCGCCAGGCGTCTGGGGTCGCTGCTGCTGCTGCTGCTGCAGCTGCTGCGGCGGCGGAACCATGGGAGGTCGGACCGCGCCACCCGGCTGCTGCGCCGCCCAGGGCTGTGGCGCTGCCCAGTGCTGCTGCACACCCCCTGGAGGTTGCTGCTGCTGCTTCTGCTGCTGCTGCTGCGGCGGCGGCGGCAGTGGCGGCCCCCATGGCTGCTGCGCAATTCCTGGGAGCTGCCGCGGCTGGTGATGCTGGTGCTGCTGCTGCTGCTGAAGCGGCGGCGGCGGCTGCTGCTGGTGCTGCTGCTGTTGCTGCGGCGGCGGCGGCCAAGATGGCCGCAGTGCGCCCTGCAGCAGCTGCTGCTGAGGACGCTGCATATGCTGTTGGATTGGCTGATGTTGAATCGGATGCGGCTGCAACTGCGGCTGCATGTGCGGTTGCGGCGCCCCAGGGCGTACGCCCCCGGCAGGCGGCAGCAGCAACTGCCCGCCATGGGGCGGCAGCTGCGGCAGCGACAGCTGGCCACCCGCGCCGCCAGGCGGAGCACCCAAGGGCCGCGGCGGGGGGGGAGGGCCCGGCACGGCGCCGAAGGGCGGAGGACCCGGCGGCCGCGGGCCGGCACTCCCATGGGGTGATGAGAACGCATTCAATGCTGCTGCACCTGGGGACGGCGCGGCCGGCGCACCACCCACAGCCAAAGCCGCGCCGCCAGCAGCAGCGGAGCCGGCCGCAGCCATCAGCGCGGGCAGCTGCATGCCGGGCCGCGGAGGCGGCTGATTCGGCGAAAGCGTGTGCTGGTGGGGGGCCGCTTGTGGCGGGGCCATGGGCTGCGCTGGCAGCGACAGGGGCGGCGGCTGGACCGCCCCCGGCCACGGCTGCTGCGCCGCTCCCTGAGGAATGGGGGGCTGCGGGGGCTGCTGCTGTTGATGCTGATGCGCCGCATGTGCCTGTGCCTGGGAGGGCCTGTGTTGTGCCGCGAATGGTGGCGCCTGTTGCTGCAGCCTTTGTGGGGTGTATGGCGGCTGCTGGAGCTGCTGGTGGTGCTGCGGCGTGTGCTGCTGCGGGTGCTGATGCTGCTGCTGCTGCTGGTAAGGGGCATGTGGCTGCTGAACTAGGTGCTGCTGAGCTTGTGCTTGTGGTGGCACCTGGTGTGGTGCAAGCGGAGGCGCCTGTGGATGCATCGCAGGGGGCGGGAGCTGCTGCTGCTGCTGCTGCTGCTGATATGGCTGCTGAAACAGTGGCTGCACAGGCTGCCCTTGCGCCTGGGCTGGCGCATGGTGCGCCGCATGCGGCAGCACATGTTGCTGCGTCCCAGGAGGGGGCTGCTGCTGCTGCTGCTGCTGCTGCTGCTGCTGGTGCTGCTGCAGCTGCGGGTGTGGGTGCTGTGGCCAAGGATGCCCCTGCTGCTGCTGAGGCAGCGGCTGTTGCGCATGATGGGCCTGCTGCTGCTGCTGCTGCTGCTGCTGCTGCTGCTGCTGCTGCCACTGCTGGTTCTGCGGCTGCTGTGGCCATTGCTGCGCGTGGAACGGCTGCTGTGGCGGTTGCTGCAACTGCTGCGGCTGCTGGGGCTGCTGCGGCTGTAACGCCTGCTGCTGAGGCTGCTGCGGCAGGGGCGGCGCCGCGGCAAGCTGCTGGAGCGAGGGCGCCCCCACCCGCGAAACGCCGTTGACGGCGCCTGCGCTTGACGCCGCTGGCGCCGGCAGTGATGTCTGCGCCGTCGTCAACGCGGATCGGAAGCTGCCGGGCCCGTACTTGGGAAGCTGCGCCCTGGCTTCCTCCATCGACAGCTCCTCCTCGGTCCAGACTAAGATGCCCCCCACCTCGGCGGCCACCGTGGCCGGGTCCCTGGCTGTGGACGTCACCGGCCTCGCACCCCTCGCTGCTGCCGCGGCCGCCCCGCCGCCGCCGGCCGGGGCGGCGCCTGCCGCCCCCGCAATGGGGAAAAGCGGGGCGCCGGGCCGCGGCGGCTCCTGGTGCGCGAGCGGCGACGAGTCGCCTGCGGATGGAGGCGCGGCGCCTTGCACAGGGAACAGCGGCGGAGCGCCACCGCTGGCGCCGCCTCTGCAGGGAGGGAGGGGGACGGGAGCGGGTGAATCGGCATGCGAGAAATCTTGTGAGACTATACCCGAACAAGGGCGGAGGGCTCTTTTCTCTAAACGCAGACAAGACCAGGCCGCAGGTGGTGTGTGTGTGTGTGTGTGTATGTGTATGCGCGCCCCCACACTTGCGTCCACCATCGCATCGGCGCTCACCCTGGGAAGGCCACGCCTTGCTGCGCCAGAGGCTGCGGCACCTGCTGCTGTTGCTGCTGTTGCTGCTGCTGCAGCGGCAGCTGCTGGAACTGCTGCTGATGCTGCTGCTGCTGCTGAAACTGCTGTTGCAGCGGCGGCTGCTGGAACTGCTGCTGCTGCTGCGGCTGCTGCGACTGCTGCTGAGGTGGCTGCTGCTGCTGCTGCTGCTGCTGCTGCTGCTGCATGCCCGGCACCGACACCGGCGGCCTTGGGGCGCCCATCCCCATCCCAAACCCCATGCCCATGCCAGGCAAGCCGCCGCCCATCATGCCCCCGGCGCCCATCATGCCCGCGGCCCCCATCATCATCGCCGCCCGCTGGGCCATCATCATACCAGGGAGCCCCCCAGCCATCAGCCCCTGCATCATCGCCATCTGCGGGGTCATGCCCATGCCCATGCCGGCTGGGCCCATGCCCATGCCGGCACCGTTGGCCATCATGCCGGCGTTGGGCATCATGCCACCGTTTGCTGTCATGCTGCCAGCCATGGAGACGCCGCCGACCGGCGCCGCGGCGCCGGGGTCAAGGGCTGGGCCCGCCGCAGGAGGCAGCGCTGCTGGTGCTGCCGCCGCCGCCGCCGCTGCCGGTGCTGGTCCTGGTCCTGCTGGCCCATCGTCCAGGCGCGGCTTCTTGCTGGCTTCTGGGTCCACGTCGCCTGTTGAGAGGTCAGAGGACGGGGACCGGCGGCCGCGGGCGAGCAACGCGCTTATGACAGTCAGCTTGGCACCACAAAAGTATGCCCAAAAGCCAGCTAACGAGCGAGGGATGCTGCAAGTTTGTTGATTTGCAGCCGCCTCGCCGCAAGCCCCGGCCGTAAGCTCCGCTTGCTGAAGGCGCCTCAACGCGCGTGCGTCGGCTTCATGCACGCCCCGGACCGGCGGCATGGCAGAGGCGTCGCACCGTGCTCGCCAAAGGGCCGGCCTGGCTCCGCGCCCTCCGGGATGCCCGCCATCCCGAATATGTCGCGCGCCATGTCCTCGCGCCCGGGCAGGCATCCGGGCACGCTGCGAGGAACGGGGACAGGAGGTTGCGGGGTGGGTTGCGCTAGGCGCAGGGGGTTTCGCATGTGCATGCCTCGCCAAGCGGTGCGCCCTGACGACTTCATGCACAGCTGCTGCCAGTGACATTTGCTGATCCTGTGCGCGCGAGGGAGGGGGTGCGTGGCGCGCAGCCCGTCCATCCCGGAACCCGCCTGCCAGACTGGCCCCCGCGTCTGCCCGCCGCAGCCGCCGCCGCCGCATCATCCCCAAAAATGGGTGGGCTCACGCGTTGAGTGTGAGCTTGTGGACCTGGAAGGCGTGCACCTGCAGCCCCCGCGCCGACGACAGCTTGCGGTTGCACTCGGGGCACTGCGCGGCACGACACAGCGCGGCGAGGCGCGGAAGGCGCCAGGTTTGGGAGTGAAGCGGGGGGCGGGCTGCGGCGGGTGGGCTCGCGGGCGAGAGGGGAAAATGGTGGGGCGGTGCGGGGCGCACCTTGAAGTGCTTGCCCTTTTGGTGCTGCACCAGCGTGCCCTCGTCATTGAACGTGCGGTCGCAGTAGAAGCAAAAGGTGACCTGCTTGTCCTTCTTCTTCTGCAGCGGGGCGGCCGCGGGGCCCGGGACGGGTACGGGGCAGGGATGAGGCTCTCCGTTCCGTGTGGGCCGCGCAGGCCCGGCGCATGCTGGTTCCGGGTCGTCCATGACAGCACGGCGAGGTTGGATAGGCACCAGGCCAGCCGCTCGCTGCGACGCACCTTCTTCCCCATGGCGAACTGCCGCCGGGCCGGCCCACGCGCGCCGCAGCCTTCTGCTGCAAGAGGGGACGCGGCGACGGGCGCAACGGACGTGCGAAGAGCGGCGGCCGCCTTGCCTGTTGCCAGCAGAGCGTGTGTAGAGCACGTCCAACCGTACGCATGCGTCTCATGCAAGCAATTGTACATGCTGGGAAGTTTTGAGACCGCTGTAGAGGCTCTCACAGCTTACCTCAGATCGCCTAGCTTGTGTTCCCAGGCTGAGTACCGTACTTCGCGAATACTTGAATCCCTATACGCACAAAGACTTTCCAGTGTCGCCGCGGATCCCAAAAGCGAGGCACGCAGATCTACGGGCCTTGTTGCCAAGCACTGCGAGTGTGTATCGAGACAGTCACGGCTGCGACAGACGGACGGCTGATGGTCGAAGTGCGAAGCGCGTGCTGAAGCATGCTTCGCATTGCTGGCGGGTCTCCAGTGACTGCACCGTCACCGCTAGGTCACTGTGCTATGAGCCCCGCAATTTCGTCGTGCACAAGGATCAATGAAAGCAGGCCTTGCCAGTGGACGCTGCTCAGAATTGACCACTCACAAATGTGAAGCAGCTGTGCCGCTTATCCATGTGGGTTGCGTGGTCAAGGCTGGTCAACAGGCGGTGGGATACTGCAGGTCCACTGCAACATACCACTGAATGAGGTGCATTTCTCCTGTTGCCACGTCAAAGCAGGCAAATCAACTGCCCCGCCCAGGCGCTGTGTCCCTGATATGTAGACACTCGCAAATCTTACACCGCTGCAGGCAAGCAGAGGCGGTGTTGGCGAGCTGGGTGGTACGGCAATGCCTGCGCGGCTGAGGCATGCGGTCAGCCCGCAAGCCCCTGACGAGTCAAACGGCAGAGTGCACCGCCACCTTGTGCGCCGCCCGCACGAATGCGCCCCACCGCTGCTCCGCCGTCACCGCCACCCAGTCGCCCGCCGCGTCCAGGAACGCCAGGCGGGCGCGCGCCCGCGGAGGCAGGCGCCCCGGGAACGCCGCCTGTAGGCGCCGCCACAGTTCGCGGAAGGACCCGAGCTCCTGCAGGCGCAGTTCAACAAAGCTGCCCCCACCACAGCCCCCGCTGCCGCTGCCGCCGCCGTCGTCCAAAAAGACCTGCACGCCCTCGCCGGCGCGCCTCGCCCATGGCGGCCCTGCGCCGTCGGGCGAGGCCGCGGCTGCAGCGCTGCCGCCGCCGCCGTCGCCGCCGTCCCCGCTGCCGCGGCCGCCGTGCCGCGCGGATGCCAGGCGCTGCTGGCCGCTGGCTGCCTCGAGGCTGCTGACCGCGGACGGCTCGGCCGATGCGGCGCGGTGCGCCTCGCGCAACGAGGGCGGTGCCGCGTCCGCCTTTGCCCGATGCTGATGCTGCTGTTGCTGCTGCTGCGGGTCGTCCCGCTCCCGCCGCTGCTCAGAAGGCCCGGCGGCGCCTTCACTGCTTGCAACAGGCCGATCGCTGGTGTCCGTCTGCCGCTGCCTCTTGGTGGCCGGCTGGTCGCCCGCGGCGGCGCCCTTGTGCGTGCTCTTCGCCTTGGCCCGGCCGTCGCCAGCCGGCCTCGCGGGTGCCTTGCTGGCCTTGGGTGGCTGCTGCTGCTGCTGCTGCTGCTGCTGCTGCTGCTGCTGCTGCTGCTGCGGCTGCCCGCCGCCAGCAATAGATTCCCGCTTGGCCTGTTATCAAGGATGAGGCCGGCGAATCGGCACATCAAGCAGACCCCACGTAAGTCATCATGGGTAACATGATGTCACATGCACACCATGGCTCAGGCGCCCTGGTCCTCTGCGCACGAGCCAACTCGCGTCCAGCCGCCCCCCATTATCAGCCCTCCTGCGACTGCAGGACTCCCCCGCCCCACCCACCTGCTTTTTCTCCTTTGCAGCTTCTTGCGGCGCCGCGGGCGGCTGCGGCCTGCGCGCAATCACCATGCCGTCTGCCTCAGATCCGCTGCTTTCGGACAAGCTCTCGTCGCCCCCGCCGGCGCCGCTGCCGACGCCCCCGCCGACCGCTGGCCCTGCCTTGAACTTCTTCGCATGCGGCTCTTGCCGCTGCTCCTGCCGGTGCTCCTGTCGCTGCTGCTCTTGCCGCTGCTCTTGACGCTGCTCTTGACGCTGCTGCACGTCGCCAGGCGGAGCCTTGCGCTTGGCGCCCGCTTGAGCGTGCCCGCCTGCGGCCGGCGCCGACCCGACCGCGGCAGAGGACTTTTGGGATACCTTGCTGCCGCCCGTCGCCTCCTGCGCCTTGCTGCTGCCGTTGCCGCTGGCCCCGCCGGGCTTGCCCGGCGTTTGCTGCAGCTGCTTCCGCTGCTGCTGTTGTTGCTGCTGCTGCTGTTGTTGCTGCTGCTGCTGTTGTTGCTGCTGCTGCTGCTGTTGTTGCTGCTGCTGCTGTTGCTGCTGCTGCTGCTGCACCTGCTTCTCCTGCTTCTGCCCCGCAGCCGTCTGCGCCTGTTTCTCTTTGGAGGGCTCCTGCGGCGCGCCCTTGCTTCCGGACTTGACACTCTTCTGCTCCCGCGGCCGCTCCTCGGCGTCTGCTCCCGCTGCAGCTGAAGATGCCCGGGGCCCCGGGCCCTCCGCCCGCTGCAAGCTCGCCGGCTTGCCGCCGCCGCCGGACAGGCTGTCCCGCCTCGCTGCAGGTGCTGTAATCGCAGCTGCCGGTTCCTTGGTGCGAGCGGCTGAGGGTCCGCAGACGAGGGCGCGTTGAGAGGGAGGGGGAGTGCACGGTGAGCCCAGGCCAGCATCAGAGGGCAGCCCCGTTGCTGGTCGACTTGCATGCCCTGATGCCTGCGAAGGCACTCAAGCAGCCTGCCGCGGCCCAACGCGACGTTGACGCCTATGCCATTCAAGCCCACCTGGCGGCGCCTTGGGCAGGGGTGCTGATTTCGCCAGGGTGATGGCATTGTCGAGCATGAGAAGGGCGCTAGCCGGCTTAGCCCGAGGTGCGGGCGCAGCTGCAGCCGCGGGCATTGGCGGGTCGGCTTTGGTGCCGCCTCCAGCCTTGGTGTCGCTCGCGGCGGGCTGGGGCTGTGCAGCGCCAGGGGCTGACACGGGCTGCTTGCCAGTGGGCGCCTGCACTGATTTTTGCCCCGCAGGCTTGATAATTCGCTGCTGCTGCTGCTGCTGCTGTTGCTGCTGCTGCTGTGCCGGCGGCGGCTTGCCGTCCGCCTCAGCAGCAGCCGCTTGCTGCAGCTGGTGATTTGGGCTCGTTGATGCCCCTACATCACCAGGAGCCAAGGGCTGGTTTGCATTGCCGCCATCGCTGGGCAATGATGGCGGCTGCAGCACCTTGTCAGGCGCTGCATGCTGCTGTTCCTGAGCCGGCTGCTGCTGCTGCGGCGGCTGCTGCTGCTGGCCACGAGGCTTGAAGGCCGGCTCTTCATGCTGAGGCTCTTTCTTGAGCCGCGCAGCCTTCGTGTCCTTCTTTGGCCGCTCCGCTGCCTGCTGCTGCGCCTTGGTTTGCCGCTCCGATGGCGTCGGCTGCTCCTTCGCTGGCCGCTCCGGCTGCTGCTGCTGATGCTGTTGTTGCTGCTGATGCTGCTGCTGTTGCTGCTGCTCAGGTTGATGGTGATCCTGCTGCTGCTGCTGCTCTTCCTCCCGGCGCTGTGGCTCAGGCGGCTGTGAAGGTGGCTCTTTCTTCTGCTGCTGCTGCGACTGCTCCTGCTCCTGCTGCTTCTGCTGCGGCTGTGCGGGCTGCGGCGGCCCCTCATGCCTCGGCTGGTGTTGATCAGGTTGAGGCGGCTGCTGCGCCGACGACCCCGCTCCTGAGTCCGCGCCACTCAGCTGCGGCTGCTGCTGTTTCTGCTGCTGCTGCTCTTGTTGGTCCCGCTGCTGCTTGAACTCCTTGGCCCAGCGGTCCCTAAGGAGCTTCGCCATGTCGGCGGCGTGCTGCGCCGCTTGATGTGCGTATACGCGTTGCGCACGGATCCGCCCCCGCCGTACCTGGTGCACCAGATATTTATGAACAGCCTTGCCTTGACATATCACGCGGTGGTCCTCCCATCATAGGCGAGCGTCAATTCTGCGATCAAGGTGATCTATGCGCTTGTCACGATTGAAACAGAATCTCAGAATAATTCTCAGCAAACTGAAGCAAGGCTGCAATCTAGAAGTGCGCCAGGAGCGCTGATGCTGACTGATCAAGCACGCTGCAGTTTGAAAAGCTAGGGCGGCTCTACAGTAGATTAGCGAAGCGATCGCAAACATGTTGACATCGCGCTTGCGCCACGTGCGCAAGCATACAGTGCACGAGGCACCCGCCTGCGCTACGGGTGAGAAGCCCTTGAGCCCCTTGACTGGTAAACAAATCAATTGCGCTCTGACCAAATCGATGTCCTCCTTCAACCCCTGCAGTGCGCGCTTCAGTGCGGCATGGCGCCCGGGGGCGCGCTCGCTCGGTCGTGGTGCAGGCAAATCTTTTCGCTCGGATAGTACGCATAGTCAAGAGCTATGCCGACCAGCTCGGTAAGCTCATCACTAGGCGTGCATGCCCATTGTGTGGCGGGGCTGGCGGGCCAGTGGCTGGGCACCAATGGGTTGCCTGCGACCCCCAGTGGCTGATTGTGGCTGCACGGCAGAGTCATGCGCCCCCCCTTCTGCCGCGCCATGCAGTGTCTGCTGCGGAGGATCCGGAAAGGATCCTGGACCAGGTGGGCGCCTGGAACCCAAAACACAACTTGGGTGATGCGAAACCACCCCATGATTGTTATAAATAATTCGTGCACAGCAGCCATTCGCATGAGCCTGTACAGCTGCTGGCCCGGAGGTGTGCAGGGGCCCTGGATGGAAAACCACACCACTCTTCACTCGACGGCACGACACTCGGCGTATGAGCGGCAGCGCATCCCCGCCACCCCCAAAAACCGGGTTTGACTCATCCGCCCTTGCCACGTGACAACCCAAGGTGGTGAATGAGATGCAGGAGGACCTCATTAAGATGCGCCAGGCGGCCGCCCAGGTGTGCGCACGGACAGCCAGCAGCGGGTGCTACCCGCCCCCGTCCCCGCCGGGCGGTGTGCGCGCGCGGCTCGGATGTCGCGTCAGCATGCGGCGCAGGCCTGCATGGGCCGGCTTGCGGTGGCCTGCGACTTTGACCGCGGCACGCTGTTGCTGCGCAGCTACTGCCGAGGGCCGGGTCCTCTGCCGCGTCACAATATGAGGTGTAATGATGAGCCGCGTGCATCCCGAACTCCTCTCCAACCCCCCCTCCCGATGACGTCATCAGGTGCTGGCGTCTCAGAAGCAGCTGGAGGCCAAATACAGACAGGCCCAGACCACCGCGGTGGGTGGAAGGCCAGAGGCGCCCATGGCCGCCGGCCGGCCACTCTGCTCGCGCCCGGTCAACGGGCGCTGCTCGACCAGGCGCGCGCCCCAGGCGCGGCACCCGCGAACCGATAGAAGTCTGCCACGTGAGCTATCGCCCCTGCAGGGGGCTGTTTCTCAACCCCCGATGCCCTCATACACAGATCCTGATCCCTCACTCTTCGCGCCACCCCGATGCAGGACGACTGGCTGAAGCGTGCTGAGCTGGCGGTGTCAAAGGGGGAGGATGACCTGGCCAGGGAGGCCCTGAAGAGGCGGAAGACCTACCAGGTGGGGTGGGCTGTCGCTTTCGCGTGTGCAGGTTGAGGTTGTGATCTTGACGCAGCGGCGGCGTGGACGAGGGGGCGTCACCAGCAGCGTTCGTTCACAGCAGCAGTCGGGGCGCCTGGGAAGGCAAGAGCAGTGGTGGTTGCAGGCGTGCGCAATCTTGTAGATTCCCCACAGGAGCTCCATTATACAGCAGCGCCTGCCCTCGGATCCTTGCTGAGCAGCAGGCCGCCTCAGCCCCACACCCACGCAGCCACGACACACCCCACCTGTCCGCCCGCCCCAACCAACCTGACCCCCAGGACAACGCGGATGGCATGCGCACGCAGCTGGAGGTGCAGCGCAAAGCCACCGACCAGCTGATCGCCAACACGCGCGTCCTGGAGGGCAAGCTGGCCGAGGCCAAGAGCAAGAAGGACACGCTGAAGGCGCGCGCGGCGAGCGCGAAGACGAGCAGGCAGGTGCAGGAGATGATCGGATCTCTCAACACCAGCAGCGCGGTGGCAGCGTTTGAGAAGATGGAGGAGAAGGTGAGGGGGCAGGGCGGTCGGCACCTCCACCCGCGGATGGTTGCAAGCTTGATTTGGCAGTGGTGTGATTCACTGACGCGTGCAGCAGCGAAGCGCACCAGCGCGCGCCTTGTGAGGGTGGGGTTGGCATTGGTGGGGCGACAGGCGTGGGCCGTCGGCAGGAACTTGGCGGGTCGTGCGGCTCGGGCGCCGCCCTGTCGTCATCGCTGCCGCCTTGTCGGGGGCGACAGGTGGCCGGCGCGAACAACGGCTCGCTTCTCATATACATACGTGTATACATCCAAAGAACGATTTGATGTGAAAATTGTATATCAACATACATATCCATACCTACCTGCACCTGCTGGCGCCACGCACCCCACCCACCCAACCTCTAAATTACCCCCGTCTTTCTTCCTTCAACCCCAGGTCCTGTCGCTCGAGGCGCAGAGCGAGGCCGCGGGCGTGCTGGCGACGGGCGACGGCCTCGAATCGCGCTTCCGGGCGCTGGAGGGCGGCAGCGGCGTGGAGGACGACCTCGCTGCGCTCAAGCGCGGCCTGCTGGCCGGCGCGGCGCAGCCCGCGGCGGCGGCGGCGGCGCTGCCCGAGGGCCGGCCGCTGAGGGACGCGATCGACCTCGAGCTCGAGGACCTCCGCAGGAAGGCGAAGGGATGATCTGGATCAGGATCTGTATCTTGAATTCGGGGATCGGCGGCGGGAGGAGCGTGGAGAGTGATCTTGCTTTCGGTTGGCCTGCAGGCTGGCTAGCGCGTGAGGGGCGGGTGCCTAGGCACTCCTTCCTGTCGGCGCCGGCTGCTTTCTCTGAGGCCCCCTCTGGACAGGCGGAGCCTCGCCACTCAGGAGCGTCCTAATTTGGAAGCGCAGTCGGCTTGTCGGCACCTGCGTGGGGCCTCCTCGCATGCGCGGCTGTCTGCTGTCAGCATTCCTTCTGTTCTGGTGCATTACAAACTGCCTTTGTGATATACGCACGAGTCCAGTGGCACTGCAATTGCGTCATCTGGCCCCGCTACGCAGTAAGCTGTCTCGAGTGCGTTTTACAGCAGCAACCTGGGGTGCACGGGTCTGCATCATGGCCGCGCTGCGCCTGCAAAAGAGGTCGCGTGCAGACCCTTGTCCGCCGTGCCGAGCAGGCGGTTTGGAAAGAAGGTTTCGCAGCACAAGGGTGAGGCGCGCTGGCGCCATCCACCCACCCCGAACAATGTGCCGTACGCCACAAAACATGAAAAATACAACCTGCGGCACGAAAAAAACAGCTCAGCTCAATCGGCTCCCCCAAAGCGCACACACAGCGGCATCCACAGCAAGACAGACCGCGCGACGCCACCACGCCGTAGCCGCAGCAGCGGCACTGCGCAACTGGGGGGCGTAATCACCGCTTCCTTTCCCGCGCGATCTCTTTTGCGAACTCGTTGATGTCGAAGCCCTCCGGCAGCGCGGGCTGGTAGCCGGGGATGTCCGGGTCGTCCAACAGAACCTGTGAGGTTTGGGAGGGATGGGCGGTGGGGGGTTGGAGGTCAGGTCGCGGGGATCATGGTTGAGATCATGGTTGAGATCATGGTTGAGATCATGAGGCGCGAATAAAGGCGCTGGGCCGCCGCAAGGCCCCTCGCTCCGCCATACAAGCCCAGGGGCCTGGAAACCCGCGAGCAGACAAGCACACATGCGCACCACCGCCCACGGCCACGCCCCCCCCCCAAATACACACGCACATGCACGCATGCAAGCATGCACGCACGTGCACACACACATACACACACACACACACACACGCACACAAAACGCCGCCGCACCTGGTCGAAGAGCTGCTGCTCGTATGGCCGGGGGTCCGAGAAGTCGACCTCGGGGCGGTCAATGGGGTAGTCCCGCGTGCTGCGCGCGCTGAACAGCCGCTCAAAGGGGTTGGCCCGCGGCGCCTCCACGCCCTCCACCAACTCAGCCGGCAACACCATCTGAGGGGCCGGGCGGGAGGGGGCCGCGGGGG